TGGCAGTGGCAGTCGCAGCCGGGACAGCGGACTTGGCCTGTGCATTGCCCTTGTTTGCTGTGACAGGAGGATTTGGGACGGGGTGCTTGAAGGGCACATTGAGCTTCACAGGCTTGGAAGGATTGGTGTTGCCACTCGGCCCCACCTTGAGTTGCGAGGATTGTGAAATGCTTGACTTGGGCTGCGCGGCTGAGCTAAGTGGTCTAGCAGAGGCAGCACTTGATGTAAAGAGCGCCTTTGAGTCCTCCAAAGCCGCGCCTGAAGGAGCCGAGCTGTTGGAGGCGGAAGGTCGCAGAGCTGGCGTCACTGATGGAGCGCTTGTGGGCGATGCAGCGATTGCTTCAGAAGACGGCCTGGCTGCCGAGGTCCCTCCAGAGCTAGCTGGCCGCTGGTCGCCTGCATTGTTGGTGGCAGCAGCAGCAGGCGGCCTGGCCGCAATCGGTTGCGCATGCCGCTGTCCAATCGGAACACCTTTAGCGGACGGTTGCGCTCCTCGCACATTGCCCGCAGCAGGTTGGGATTTGGTGTTGCTGACAATCTGCGGGGTTTTTAAGCTGGTAGGACGCTGGACAGCCCCCAACTGATCGCTTCGGTTGCTCTGCGCCGTTTGCGGTCGCTGAGCAGATGGCGGAGACTGTTGCATATGAGTCTGTCCACTCGCCAGAGCATGAAGCGTGCTTGCAGCATGATGAGATCCCCAGGAAGCGGAACTGTTGGGAGACTGACCGCTGCCACCTGACCCTGCTGATGCTGATGTCTTGCCGCTAGCGCTGCCTTCGTGACTGGCGATGGAGCGCACTGAAGGGGCTGGAGAATTGGTCACTGAGCCTGGCGTGGCCGCTGCGGTAGGCGTCGCTGCACCAGCCACCATTATGCGAGTGCTCACACTCGGCAGGAAGCTCGATCGCTCCTAGACTTCGTTGCTAGTTTAAAGAATCCGAATTTCGTTGAAGATTGATCCACAGTCCCGTCAGAGTAGGCTTGATACAGGTCGGGACATCTTGATGAGCTGAGAGAGTCTCCAGATATCGCACCCTGACCAATAGGGCTGGGACCAGGAGCCTAGATAGTCGACTTGGACTTCTCAAACCGCGATGGTGTTGAGCTGCAACAAGTGGGCAGGAACATTAGCTTGAAGCTGAAGTTGCCTCGTTCGGTGTCGTAATGTTGAAAGGTTGTTTTGCGATCTGTACTTGTTGCAGGAAAGCCGTAGGGAGACGGAGCGAGCGGTAGCCGGGTGAAGAGTACCGTACCAGTGCAGGCGTCCCGTATTCCGAATCACGAAGATGAGAGTTCTGTGCCTAGGAAGACCGTGCATATAGAGCTGCTGCTGCTTGATTCACGACTCACTGACTGCTGCCTGTCAAAAAAGCGACCGACGTTGGAAGCCGAAGCGCAGCTGCAGCAGAAGGGTTAGCAAGACCCTGCCCGAGCAGCGGTCAGGACACCGGCTGCATAGCTGATGTGTTCAGTCGCCAATCGGAGAATCGTGAATGCAGCAGGCGTGCATGGCAGCAGCGCGTCGCGTGAAGAAGAATTTTTTGCCGCGTAGCCGCTGCTGCTGCAGCACGCTCGTAGGCGAATGCACGTCGAGCGCTGCTGTGCGACTTGATTCGTGATTCACAGGCTCTGCGCTGACAGGATCAGCGCGTGACAGCCACAAGAGGGTCGTCATTCGCTGCTGAAAGCCATGAGATGCGGTCTGACGCGAGGGCAACGTACTTCGCAGGTCGACAAGCTATTCGCAGTCATCCCTATGCTCGGCGTTGGAGTGGGGAATGTGGCGACCCTGCTGTGCACACCGTCCGAGACTATAGCGAGCAGGCCAACGCCTCTCAGGCAAGGATGAACGCTGTAAGCGCGCAGGCCGATCCCCTCTCACAGGGCTTGACACAAGCTTCAGCTCCGACATGCTCACGTGGTTCGACTCCTCTCGAGGTGCGCATGTCTTCGACGATTCTTCGATGGCACTTGCTATGAGGCCAAGCAATTGTCTCATTTAGCGTCAAATGACACCACGTCGCGCCGACTCAAGATCGTCGAGAAGGTGCAGACTTGTCAATTCATCAATCGTGCCAACTCTCATCGACGGCACACTTCACACCAATACAGACGCACGGATGACGATTGAGTAAGCCGAGGGAATAATAGACGGATCGGGCTGACAGGAGAGCGCAGAACACAAGTGGACAAATCGGCAAAGCGCAAAACAGCGAGAGAATTAGTCGGCAAGCATCTTCAGAAGTATAACAAAGCGCAAATCACGCTTTGCCGGCTGACAGCCCAAGGGCAGACGCCTCCCTTTGCCCCACATTGACACGCGGGAAGAGAGCACGCTAGGAGTCTTTGCTTGGCGGGGGACTGGCTGAGCAGGCTTATAGGAGACAAGAGGAAATTCTTGAGAGGGGGAGGGCAGGGTCGATGAGCAGACGTGTCTTCTTGTACAAGCAATTTGGCTGAGACATTCAAGACTTGAAGAGAGGTAAATGGTCAAAGAAGCGCCGAGGCATAGTCCGAACAGTCGCAGTCCTGACAATCACTGGTAGGATCGCCAAGAACCGTCCGATGGATGATAAGAAGGAGCGTATCGAGGCGTGTTAGATGTCGAGCCACCGCCTTGGTGCGAGCTGGGGTTGCCAGAATTGTCCGGGTAGAAGCTAGCACTGGTGGGACCGCTGAAAGAGCCTCGTTCACCGTACATTCCTGTGCTCTGACCGTGAGATGCAGCAT